GCAGAACAATGGCCATGTTGCATTACTTTCCAAAATACCTATAGACCATTTACTATTCAAAACCAGATATTAAGAAACTGAAAAAGAAAATGCAGGGGTTGTATACTCAGTAGCATACTAGCAAATCATGTTAATGAATCACACAACTGCAACTCACAAAGGGTTCAATTTTGAAGAGAGACTAGATGAAGTGTAGCAGGGTTTTCCATCATCAGCTTGGCCACCAGATATCCTGCGACGGTCCTCGGCACCAACTTTCTTGCTTCCTTGCCTACGTATCTGCCCACCTTCCCGTCATAGTACTCTGGCCAATTGTCTTTCAACATCCACCACTCCACTTGTTCGATGGCTCTCTTCGCCATCTCCAGCCTGCTAGCCTTGATACATGCCGTGGTAAACAACCAAAACAGTGCTGCAACAAAATGTCACAAACTACGATGAGAAATTCGTGTATGCACCTAAAGATTTTGATTGAAAATGTGGCTGGAACCAATAATAAAGATGTTTAGACGATCCTCGCTTTTCATCCCCTGACTACATGTGAAGATACTTGTAGCATAATTCCATCCACTAAACAAAATCAACAAGAAGCCTACTCCTCTATAATTGGGCAATGTTCTTCACAAGTAATTGAAATGTCTCAATTGAATTAGGCTAGCACTATGCATTTAAATAGTAAAATAAAACTACTGGAGGTGCTAAAAAGGATAAACATAACTACTACATAGAAGTTAACAAAGATATAAATAAAAAGGAGAGCTAACTCCAGGAAACTAACTTGGCCATGAGCCACCATTGTGATAACCGTCCACTCATGTCCCTCTAATGCTTGGTATGCAATTTTTAGAGGCATCTCCCCAATCAAGACCTCCCAGTGCTCCTCAATCAAGTCCATAATAGCTGTAGCTTGCTCAGGTGTTGCTAGAGAGCTAAGGATGGCAACACAATTCCCCACTAAAAACCACCTGAAGTCCATTCGACCTGTGCTAACATTGCCAATGAAATACCCTTCTCGCAACGGCATGAAATCAAAAACCCATGCAGGAATGGAATCTGGAATGACTTAAACTTGCCGGCAGCAGTATGGGAATACTCCTTGGTTTTGTAGCAGTAGATCTTTAGCTGTGCAACATTAAACCAGTAACAGTTTTGGATGTGAGCGTAGATCTGCGAGGCGCTTACCTACCTGCTCAAGGAGTTCCTTAGCATCTAGCTCTTGCTCCAACAGTCCTTGTGCACACCTCAATGCAAAAGTAGAAAAGAGCTTGAATCTCAATTGGATAACCATACATCCCCTGTTCAGAAAAGCAAGCAAAGGTGGTGAAATTCAGTTCAGTGGAGCCTCAAGTTATGTTATCCTTTGAAGTCGGGTATCGAGTAATTTTATATATACTTGCTAAAAGTGTCAAGAATCCTAGAAATTATCAAAAAAGAAAAGACTCACCATCATGATATCAATCATGCAACATCTGTCGGCATAGAGAAGTGTCGGGAATGTGTCAAAGCTAACTGACAGATAACGCCTTTTGCACCTCAAGAAGCACTTTGAGTGTATGGTCACCAATGCCTTCGGTGTATTATCTCAATAAAACGATCCACCATAAAGCAAAATCTATAGGTTCAGCTCTTACAAGTGTAAAATCATCAATAGCCGTCCCCCAACCTTAGAGGTGCATGGTCTGTAGCAGGAAAGTCTTTACACTATGTCGATCAGGGTCAATTTTCATGAGTCTGGCCAAACCACAAGGGACAAAGTCTCTCACAAAAACCTGCAGGAGGTTCATATGACATAATCAAAGACATCATAACACTAGACAGAAATTTCTCATATTATAATTCATTCATAATGCCACCTAACAATTAATTTAAGCAATATAAGGGACATACACTAACATTGGATTGATATATACCAAAGCTTTAACCTACTACACCCAAATGGTTATTGATGTACACACACAATGCTTCAATTGCCTATCCAATCTTTGATACAATATTTGTATAACAGCATCTATGCGCAGAGACACTAATAGGCTAATTAATTTGTGTCACAAAATCATCAAATGCATGAAACACAGACATACATTGGATTTATATATACCAAAGCTTTAACCTACTACACCTAAATGGTTATTGATGTACACGCAGAGTGCTTCAATTGCCTATCCAATCTTATATATCTGTGAGCAGAGACACTAATAGGCTAATTAATTTGTTGTGTCACAGAATCATCAAATGCATGAAACCAAACAGACATACATGATTGTTGATGTCCTCGTTGAGAGCCAAAAGCTGCCAAACTTGTTCAAATGAGCAAGCGCTGTTGCTCTCAGTGCTGATCTTCCGCTTCTTGGCAGCAGCATCGGAAACCTCCACCACATGTCTCTGTCACCGTCGGAAGTCCCGATTGGAGCCTCCACAAAAGTCATTGTGCAGTGGCTCCTTCATATGTCTCAGATCCGGAGGCGCTTTGTAATAGTCCTCTAAGAAGAGGTCTATGACATTACTCTTCTCATGAAGGCCCGATCCACCGAGGGAACGGAGGTAGTGGAGCACCTCAGAAGTAGTTTTAGGCTCCTCGTTTTTTTTGTGTACATAGAAAACAAACTTGAATGTGGAATAACATAGCGAGTCGTCTAGATTTTTATAATACCCTCTAGTGGCTATGTCTTCGACTTGTGGTTTTGAAATACCTTCAATTCCTCATAGAGCCTGTTGCATCAATTCAAGGACTCTCAACAATGCAAACTAGACAGGAGAGAAGTTAGCATCGAACACAATGACATTACAATTTTGCTGTTGTGTGAGGTTGAGGTCTTTACAAAGCCCATCAATTGTCTCGTTCAAGAGAGTTGGAAAGTGCTTTGTACTAAATATTTCGGTGAGGATTTGGTCTATTATCTTATCTCCCTGTTCTCTGTCCAAAATGCTAACCCTTATCAGCAGCACCATGGCCATGGCAGATAAGATAATAGACCAAATCCTCACCGAAACAAGACAATTGATGAACTTTGCAAACATCTCGACCTCACACAGCAGCAAAATAGTAAAGTCATTGTGTCCAATGCTAACTACTCTCCTGTCCAGTTTGCATTGTTGAGAGTCATTGAATTGATGCAACAGGCTCTACGAGGAATTGAAGGTATTTCAAAACCACAAGCCAATGACACAGCCACGAGAGCGTATCATAAAAACCTAGACGACTCGCTATGTTATTTCACGTTCAAGTTTGTTTTCTATGTCCACAAAAAAAACGAAGAGCCTAAAACCACTTCTGAGGTGCTCCACTACCTCCGTTCCCTTGGTGGATCGGGCCTTCATGAGAAGAGTAATGTAATAGACCTCTTCTTAGAGGACTATTACAAAACGCCTCCGGATCTGAGGCATATGAAGGAGCCACTGCACAATGACTTTTGTGGAGGCTCCAATCGGGACTTCCGACGGTGACAGAGACATGTGGTGGAGGTTTCTGATGCTGCTGCCAAGAAGCGGAAGATCAGCACTAAGAGCAGCAGCGCTTGCTCATTTGAACAAGTTTGGCAGCTTTTGGCTCTCAACGAGGACATCAACAATCATGTATGTCTGTTTGGTTTCATGCATTTGATGATTCTGTGACACGACAAATTAATTAGCCTATTAGTGTCTCTGCTCATAGATATATAAGATTGGATAGGCAATTGAAGCACTCTGTGTGTACATCAATAACCATTTAGGTGTAGTAGGTTAAAGCTTTGGTATATATAAATCCAATGTATGTCTGTGTTTGGTTTCATGCATTTGATGATTTTGTGACACAAATTAATTAGCCTATTAGTGTCTCTGTGCATAGATGCTGTTATACAAATATTGTATCAAAGATTGGATAGGCAATTGAAGCATTGTGTGTGTACATCAATAACCATTTGGGTGTAGTAGGTTAAAGCTTTGGTATATATCAATCCAATGTTAGTGTCTGTCCCACACAATGACTTCTGTGGAGGCTCCTAACCGGATCTTCCGGCGGTGACAAAGGCAAGAGGCATGTGATGAGGTTTCCGATGCTGCCACCATGAGTATCATATATAATTCTAGCTAAACGAAGAAACCTGACTGGTGGTGATAGAAACAGGTTGTGCCTTCTTAACGAGCTCTACTAATACCAAGCAGATCATCCAGCATAAAGGAATCAACCCACGCTGGAGCAATATCAAAATAGTAAACCACCCAAAATTCATATTTTTTACCAGAAAAAGAAAAAAGGTCATTCTTTTTCTATCATAAGAAAATCTATCTTTTTTATCACACGAGAGAAAAGACTGTAGACCAAAACCAAAATGGTAATTTGAAACAAAATAAAAAAAAAATCTACAGCATAACTTTCAGATCATAGAAAATACAAACTAAAAACAACATTCAAAAAAAATAAAATTATGCAAATTCTAGATGGGAACAGATCTGAAAGATCTTCAATGAAAGGTATCAAAAGAAATCGAACCCAAAAAACTACAGCACTCAATATCTAACTCAGAAAAATATGAAGAACAAACAAAGAAATCAGTTTTAAAAAAAGAAAAATGAAAAGAGAGAAGAGATGAGAGAAGAAGAGAGATGAGAGATGAGAGATGAGAGAGCAGAGACGACCAGAAGTGGCTGAGGGAGACGATGTTGAGGAGAGGACATTAGAGACGACGCTGAGGAGACGACGCTGGAGACGACGCGGAGGAGATGAAGCGAACGAAGAAGACGACGAGAGGTAGTCTTCGAAACCCATGTCTCTACGTGGGTTTTGATATCCAGCGTATGCTGGATTTATATCTTAAACAAAAATTTAAGTCCAAGTCAGTGTGTGGTGCAATTAAGCCCACCAAACAACAGACTGGACTCATGTCTATTTTAATTGAAAAAATCTCATCCAGGTCTAGCACACCAAACAGAGCCTTAGGGTTTATTAATGAATTCACTAGTAATCTCGAGTTTAATATGTAAGTTTTGCCTAGCGAGTTTTCAAATTCTGGATCAGCCATTTAAGGTACCTACAATTGAAAAAATTATTAGGACAATAATGGTGTACCTGGAATCACTGCCATGGGGTTTAAAAGACAATGAAAAATTAAAAAAAAACTCACATCCTCCTGAACTGGGGGGATAATATCGCCAATTTCACGCTTTATCTTAGCAAGAACAAGTTTCATTGCAGCACAAGCATCATCTAGACAACTGTGTGGAGAACCTGGCTTCCGGACTTCATAACCCAATACAGACTGGAAATAACAAAAAGATTAATGGAGACTCATGCATCTCAAACAGCCCAAACTCATGGTTGCTTTGATTTCGTTCTTGTGAATGTGATCCAAATCCTTGAAAACTTATCCTAAAAATAGCTCCCAAAGTGAAATTATGCAATGCAAAAAAAAAAAATCCCAGATCAATTACAAGTTATCTATGCCACCATCCTAAACGGCCAAATTTAGAAAACATTCGCTACATTGCAACAAGTAAGAAAGTAAAGATCAAAAGATTTCTGGTCATTCAAATTTAAAATGGACGAAGAAAAACCGAGAATCAATTGCAGAATCATGCCATAGACAACTTAATAGATTTCACCGTGGAAACCATATGAAAATTTAACTGATATAAAAGTGAGATTAGCCAATTTCGTAAAACTTGCCTTGCACAAATAATTCAAGGAAAGTTTTCTAAAAATAGGCCCATCCGAATATTTAAAGATATATGCAGTATCAATCACCCTTGCATGGTCTATCTTCAACGCTGTAAACAAAATAATAATAATAAGAAGAAAATTGAACCATAAAACAGAAATCAAAAGAACTGCAAAGTCATACTTCAATTGCACAGAAACTGAAAGGAAAACAAAATTCAATGAGTTGATTATGCAATCAAAAAGGCTCAAGTATACTTATAGAAACATCAGTTCACTTTGCAGGTCATTACACAAACTGTGTCCCACTAAAATAGTTTCACCTGATAACAACTTCTTCAAGCGTTTCTACAATATGCAACAAGAAGTTCGGGTATTTAAAAAATAAAATGTGTTCATGGATGATCCCTTGAAACCAGATGATAAAAAAATCCCTTGAAACTTATAAACAACATTAATACCTGTATGTCAGCCAATGTACACGTAACTCTATCCAAATCTGATGCAGAAACTCCGGTAATCTCAGTTCTGTAATCAGCAACTTTTTTTACAAGAGCGTTTACTAGTTCATCTAGCTGGACCTGAAAAGCCGGAGCCCAAATTTAAAGGGTTATAGAGAAGGGATTTTGAAAAGGCCTAACTACTAATCAGGTATCTAGTCTAAGGTGGAGAGCAGCTATACCTGTAAATTTTCATCAACAACACACACTTTAACTAGAGCTTCAGAGCCATCTTCACATAGAACCATCTCACAATCAACAGCAACCATTCCATTTGAAATCGTCGCCTTGGACTTTTTACCGCGCTTTGAAACTACCCAGTCCTGCTTTGCCATTTACGCTAGTTAACAAACCAGATGACCAGGTAAAAACTTACATCCATTTGAAAAAACTAAGATGTCTAAAAAAGGATCATAGGCTAGTAGGAAACAGCATATTCTGTGTAGGAAGTAAAAATGCAAGCAAAAGACATGCAGAAATGCAAGAAAAGATTTCACTGCAAGCATACACAAATTTATGTAACTTTAAAACAAAAAAGAAGAAGAGATACTGCCAGCAAACCTGTTCATGCAATGGGAATGAATAATCCAATGGATATTGTGGGTGTTTGAGAGTTGAACAGACAAGACTCTGCACAGCCACCACCACGACAAAATTAATACTATCTAACAAATTGTGCATATTGAAAATCAAATGGCAATTAACAATTACGGCAACATGGCTCTCTGAAACTACAGGCGCAGCCAACCAATAACCAAAGTTACAGAAAAGAATACCTGCTCTGGGGATTCATTTTCTGGAATAGTCTTTAACAATTGATCAACTGCTTGGCGATTTGAATGGCACTGGACAACTTTAGCCAAAACCTGGAATTAGGAAATGGGTAACAATCATCATCTGAATATGGTATCATCAACTTTCAACTTTTAAGTTCTACACTTTCCGTATAAACTTTAGCCTATATGATTTCTGAGATATTCAAGGGTGTTTTGGATATTTTCCGGGGATGGATTTTCATATTATTTTTCACTAGACTCTCCGTACGCGCTTCTGCACCTGCTAGAGACTTTTTTAAAAAAAATTTAAATTTATTTTAGAATTAAAAAAGATAATGGGTAGTTGTGTTCCATAAAAATAGGATCTATTACCTGATTTTTTTTTAATTTTAATTTTTTAAATATGAAAAAGTGTGAATTTTTACCATATTATCCTCATTTAATTAATAATTTCAATTATTAATGTTTGCATTAACTAATGACATTTTATGATATTTTGAATGTTTTACCATTCTCTGTATAGATTTTCTTTTGCCTTATTCTTTTGCCCTTGGATTAGTTATAAAAGAATAATTTTGGGCGTCATTTCCTATATCATGATATTTTAATTTATCCGTAATCAACATTAAAATAAGGAGTTGCATTCAAAATACACATTATTTGTGTGTTTACTAATTATGGGAAATAAAAACACTAGTGAGTAGCACACAGTATTACGAATTCAATTCGTAATTTTGAAGGAATTGGAATCATTGGGTGGAGAATAATGGTAATCTTATTGTTGGAAAAACAACCCATAATAGTCAATGGGGTTTAACCGAATAGAAAAAAGTCTTAACTTGCAAACCATAGGTCTCAAATTTGAATCCTCACGGCATCATGGTTGTGTCTTCATCCCTTGTAATTTAGACTATAGTTTGAACTGAAAAAAACATCATCATAAATTCACTTCTTACCCATTATCATCACACAATTTCTAAAGTTTCAAGGTTACAATTCTCTTTAACCTACTAAGTCCCATCCCTCAATTTTTATTTTATTTTTGGATCAAAAGTCACGTCCCTCGATTATAGATCAGTAAACATGTGATCTATTCTTCAAATCCCAACTAATAATTTGGGTTGGTAATAAACAGTTGGGATAGCTTGGTAATAATTATATTAACAGCCCTATTTAGAGGAAACACATAATCTGCCACAACAATAAGTGGGAATATTGAAGAAAAAGGAGGGTCAAGTTGGTTGGGCTGCACAATCTGGCAAGATATACACAATAGCTTTTTTCACGCTGGCAATAATACTGCTGGGAGGACAAGCATGCAAGCAAACCACCATGACCTTCAATGTTGGAAGAAATTCAGGAACAATGCTTCTGTAACGCTCACAAGCTGTCTCTCTTGTATAACGCTCACAATCAAACCAAAACCACACACACAAAAGCTTAACTTTGCCCTTTTCAACTTTGTATAATTGCTTGCTTTGCCATTTCAAGTCGAAGCTAGCTGCAAAAGTTTGATCTGTGAGTCAAATAAAACCAAATCCTCAAGCCTCAACCCACTCAGGCACTTAGAACAGAATCAATGCATCACACTCCAAAAGGCCTCTCAATACAACAGTATCACCCATATCAAATTAAATTGCACAAGGGCTATATGCAGCATGAATTCAAACTCAACCAACACAACCACACAGATCAGAAAACAAATATAAGCAGTTTCGGATTCTCTTTGATCGAGCAAAAACTGATTATAATGTACTTCCTGCATCAAAACTCAACCCCATCCTGCGGATATATATTCCATCGATCACAATAGTAGAAACAAGCCACACAAGTCCAACCAATCTAATAGTAGAAACAAGCCACACAAGTCTTACCAATCTAATAGTAGAAACAATCCACAAACTACCTTCAGCTCAGATAATAAAAAAGGGCCCAAAAAAAAGGAGGGACAAATGATATCAAGGGGAAAATGTAGGAAAAAGTAAACAAGTTCTCAAAGAAGCAAATTACCAAAACTGCAGAAATGAAGTATGTATGCTTCCTGGACAATTGGCCTAAATAAGTACAACTTGAATGCCAGCTTTTCTGAAGGCATTTCCTTGCGAACAAAAATCCAACACAGCATCATAAGGCCGAAAATGAATACAGAAGAAATTCAATTGATCAACAAACTGTAATGTAAAATAACATGACAACGTGAGCTGAGGCCCCGAAGGCAACTTTGGTCGCCCACACAAAGATTCCCTACGAGTTTCCACTGGAACTACTCTCATTAACTGGCCACCTTCTGAATGTGCATGGAACAAAGCTCCTACCTGAAAAAAACCCAAACTTTGTTCTAAACAATGCCAATGGACCATTGCTACTTGATGGGGCAATAGCAACCGCTACGTGATCCATCTGAAACTCCATCCCGCTTTCTACAGCTCCACTTGCACAGCCACTAGGATCGATTGATCCAATTTCACCAGCATCCCAATTCACAGTCAAGGATCCTCTCCGTTCTCGCAACCACTCTGCGGCCTCACCGCTCACTCCTCTGCACTTCTTGACCTTAATCTTGGCCAAACTAGGACAACCCCAAGCAAGCATTTCAAGACCAACATTGGAAATTGGGCACCCCTTGATACAAAGCTTCTTCAGCGCCACGCATTTCGCAGCAATGCAAGCAAACTCTGCGTCCCCAATTGAGCCACTACCGCAAAGCGCCAACCTTTCCAGCTTCTGGCAATTGGAAGCTATTGCCGTCAAGCTCAAAGAGGTGGGATTGACGCCAATCAGAACAAGCTCTTGTATGTTTGGGCACTCTTTAGCTATGGCAATCAAACCCTCATCCCCAATCCTATTTGTCCTCCATCCATCAATGTGAAGCTTCCTCAGTAGCTTACAGTGTTCGGCAACACAAATAAGACCAAAATTCGAACACTCAGGAGCCTTAACAATGTGCAAGACCTCCAAATTCGAGCATTTCGAAATTCCCGAAAGCCCCAAATCGGTCACTTGCAACCTCTCTAGGTGAATTTCAATCAAACCCCGATATCCATTTCCAAGCTTTTCCAAAACCCTATCCCAATCCCCCAAACAGCGGATTAGCTTCAAAGTCTTGAGATTTTTTGAACCGACTATAAGCGGTCCAAAGCACTGTCCATTAAGTATCTCCTTCAAGGTTATAGATTTCAGCGAGGACGACGCCATCTCTGCGCCGATCGGCTCCGAGCCGTCTTGGACGCCACGGAGCCGCTTCACCGAGAGCTCCTCGAGCGCCGTGCAGTGCTCGACGACGGCATTCATGGCTTTGGAACCGAACATGCACGAGCCGCACGATAGCTTCTTCAAGCCTTTACAGTTCTGCGCGAAAGAGGCCATCCCAAGGTCGGTGATTTCGCGGCAGCCACGAAGCTTGAGCCGCGTGAGGCTCTTGCAGCGGATCGAGATCAGGACCAAAGCGTCGTCGTCGAGGCTGATCGATTTGCGATCGCAGCGAAGCGCGAGCTTCGTGACCGAGTCGAAGCGAACAAAGAGAGAAGGCAGGAAAGGGAGGAGCCCGGCTTGGGCTTTGAGAGAGAGGCGGTGCCGGCTCTGGCCGTCCACTCGGAACCACCGGTGGCAGACGAGCGAACTCTGTTTCCGGTCGCCGGAGCCGAGGAAATGGAAAATACTGGCCAAACACTCGTCGGGAAGATCGGCAGTGTAGTCTCGTCCGTGAGCGACTTCCTCGTAAAAGTCGTGTTCTTCGTCGGGCTGAACCGGCGAGGAGGAAAGAATCGGCATCGGTTTGAAGCTGAACCGGCGGCTGGTTGAGATTTCTCTATGGCCATGCTCCGCTGGAGCCTCGGGAAAGGAAGAAGACTGTCCCATAGTTCTGCCGCGACTGAATTCGACGCGCCGCCAGAAGAGCGTGTCCGGGAGAGATGGGGAGAGAGTTTTGGTGGTTGGCTTCGATTTTGGTTATTTCAAAGTTTGTGATTATCTATCTAGTTTGGCTGCTTGTGTGGGCGTTGGCGCTATAAACTTATAAAAGGAGCGTAAACCGTACGTGTGCTTGTGTGCGAATGGGTGTGTGTTTTTATGTGAGCACTGAACTATGAAAACCCGTCAAATGGGGATGTTCCGTGACCTCCTCGCAATCTCCACGGGCCACGGCCGACCATCATTATTCATGCATTGCCGTCATAGACGCGCTTTATTTTCTATCATTTTTTATTTTGTCGATTATATTTTGCACCTTTTATTTATTTATTTTTAGGATGAACTATGATATTTTTGCATTATGTCTTTGGGGACTATGTAACAATTTTGTCCATATCTTTTAAAACTGTTACAATATTCACCATTTCGTCTGTCAAACTATGAACTTAACCGTCTTTTAGCACTTTGTGAATTCATTTTTTCTCTTGTACGAATACTAGGTTAGTGTTATTTCCATCATTTTCCACTTTGACATATATAATTTATTGCTTGTTTATATGACATTTGTTAACTTACACAATATGAAATTAGCATTTAGGCAACGAAAAATGAAATTCATTTAATTTTACATCAAGAAACAACGAATATAC